CTTCCCTTGCTCTACCATCACAGCCTAACCCATCCCATCCCATGCCATCCCAAGCCATGCCATCCCACCCATGCCATCCCACCCATCCCATCCCAAGCTATGCCATCCCTCCCATCCCATCCCATCTCATCCCATCCCATTCCGACCTGTCCCATCCCATCTGCAGCCATGCCAAGCCATGCCATGCCATCCCATCCCAACCCATCCCATCCCATCCCAACCGAAACTATCCCAACCTTACAGCCCTCTCTCCTAGTGTGTGGAGATGACTTCTGATGGCACGAGCCCCATCAACATAGTAGTCCATCTCTCGCAGGCAGTAGTGGCGCCCAGAGCAGGGGCTGTAGTAGAGCTGGAAGGGTCCCCTCCTTGCCACGGTGTACACAGGGAGCCTGTCAGCAACCAACTCCCTCTCTGCAAGTGGAGGGATGGCGAGGGTAAGGGCGAGGAGGAGCAGCCAGCCTGTCACCCAGATGTATGCCAGCATGGCGTGGGCACAGATACAGCTGGAGTACAGGGACAGGGCAAGGGTAGTTACCAAACTGATTGAGGCAGGTAGGTTTCACAGGGTATGTCACGGGTATCCTGTGCAGGATGGTGTCCATCCTTGCATCCTGCAAGGAGCGACGGCAGCCCTTGCAGGATTGCCACCCTTTTGCTGCAGAGCCTGAGGTGCTGGTGGCACCTCAGGCAGCTCCAGTTTGGGGGGGGTCAAGGGGGCTGGGATCTACCTTGGGCAGGGGGGGGAGGTAAGAGGAATGCTTATTCCAGGCTACACTGTTGTAGGGACCTGTTCTCCAGGTGATGTAATTGACGTCATTGACAAAAACTGGGCTGTACTTCTCTGCAATGCAAAAGGGACAGGCAGGGGTGTCCTGTGGTGCTGGGGATGTGAGGGGGCTGGCCAGAGAGTCCCAACTGTTCCCCCTCTCCCTGAAATTCAATGTCATGGGGCCAGGGGGGGCTGTCAGAGATGCTGCTCCCAGGGTCCTTGTTAAGGATCTTTGATGGAGGTGACATCCCCCACTTTCAGCTTGTTAGTCACTCATTCCTGCCCACGCAGCCTGGGTCCCTCGGACTGTGGGGTGCCAGGAGGGTGTCCCCTAGGCAGCACTTACCACCAAGGGGTATTTAGGGGCCACCAGGGAAGAGAACCCTGGGGACCTGCGGATATCCCTGGGACAGGGACAGTCTCAGTGCAGGGCTGGGGATGGGCAGCAGCGGCAAAGCCATAAGCAGAGATGCCGAGGGAGGGTCTCTTCGCCACCATGCAGGGGATGCAGGATGCAAAAGGGGGGATGAACAGAGCCACTGCCAGCACCCTCAGCCCCCTGACTCCATGGGGATGTGCCCCGTGTGACACAGGGGGACAGTTGGGACCTTGGTGGTACCTTCGGGCCTGGCCAGACAGTACTTCTCGGGCCAGTAGGAAACACGGTCGATGCTGCTCCTGTAGTACTCCTGCGTTGCCACATTAATCAGCTGCTCAGGCTGACCTTGGCTCGATGGATTTTGCACCGGAGGCATTGTTAATCCCTACAGAGAGCGGGGAGAGACACCCAGGCCACGTGGCAGCGTCTGCCTTCGCAGCCGTTGGGGGCACACGGTGAAGCCGATTACCAGGCAGGGTCTAACACTGGAGACGCAGCTGGAGATCCGAGCACCAAGCCTCTCTTCACAGTGGGGGTCATAGCAGCACCGTGATCCCCCCACCCAAGCTTCCCGCTCGCCCAAAACTGCGGGATGGAGGATGGCTGGATGACACTGGCTCCTTTCCCCCAGCACCCCAGGTGTCCACAGGCATCTGTCACTTTGCAGAGTGGGAGATGGGGTGGATGCACTGGGTCTGCTGGGTATGGGGTCAGCAGAGGTTGGGAAGGGAGTTACAGGACCAAAACAATGTCCTACAGCTGGCAAAGCTCAGCAGGGCTGGGGTCTTGCGGAGCAGACTGGTGGCCTGGTTGCAGGAGCCATTTCTGTCCCTGCACAGTGGTGACATCCCTCCCCATGCCCTCTGCTGGCTCCCTCACTACAATGCACATGTTAGTGAGGCTGCAAGAGGTGAGCCAGTTTGCAGTGTGCTTTGCATTGGAGCCTGCGCACTTGTTAGCTCATGTGGGGAAAGCTGCATGTCCGTCCCCCCCCTCACCCCCGCAGTGAGGCCCACAGCTTAGGGATCCCTCCTCCTCCAGGACCAGTGTGGGGAAAGCTGCATGTCCGTCCCCCCCCCTCACCCCCGCAGTGAGGCCACAGCTTAGGGATCCCTCCTCCTCCAGGACCAGGGCTGGGAGGGTTTATTTCCGTGCTCAGGTCTCCCCCCAGCCCTTTGCACAGTCCCCCTGGCATGGAAGGTGCCCCAGTTGGAACTGAGCTGTGTGGGGACTGTTTTGCAGCAGCTCTCGAAGCCACCCGATCTGCCCCTCCACCACCATGTCATCAGCAGCAGCCCTGGCTGAGCCCTGCCACTGCCTCAGTTTCCCCTTCCTCAGCAGATCCTGCCCCCTGCACGCTCTGAAACCTACTGATGGACAGGGCTGATGTGTGAGAGCTTCTGCTGGTGACTGCTGGAGCTTGAAGCCACTGTGGGGTACAGCTCCAGGGGAGAAGGCGGCAATGAACACAGGCAGTGGGTTGTCAAACGCTTTCCTAACCAGGGAGCACAACTGCCCCCCCATTACACACACACAGCAAGGCACCCCCTGAGTCCCCATGACACCCCTCTGCCCGGCACCAAGCACCTGCAGCTGGGTAGGGGTAGAAACCCTGAGGTTTCCTCCTCCCACAGCATTTACCTGTGTCACAAACTTGTTTTCTTTCCAGAGCTGCTGTGGAACCTGCTCGTGGACGGTCTTTTTGACAGAGCATGGCGGGCGGTAGGAGTCGGTGTAAGTGCTGATCGGGGTTTTGTGTTTTTTGGAGAAGAGGAACATGGTGCAGCAGCCTCCCCAGACAGGAGGACTTGGAGTCCCAGAAGGTCCTGGGGACGCCCCACTAGATGAGCAGCACTGCGTGGGGCTGAGGTCTTGCAACTCATGCAGGAAAGGGAACAGGGCTGGTGCGACTGCTCTGCCAGCCCAGGCTGGTGCTTATGTCATTGGTGATGTCACAGTGTGGAGCAGGGAGATTTGGTAGCTTTCTGTTAGTCCCATAGCTACGCTCCAGTTCTAGCCTAGGGCACAGCTATTGCTGCCTGCATCCCTCCACGGGCTGCACCCTCCTGGCTTTGTCCTGGCTCTGGGCTTCCTCCCCTCCAGCAGGCACCATGGTAGGAAACAGTTTCAGCTGGTCCTAGTCAAGATAATTTTATTTTGGGAGGTGCAGGAACACTGATAGTGGCTTTTCCAGGCTCACTCTCCCATATTTCCTTGGAAATCCTGCAGCAACCCAGCTGTGTGCACACAGCACCAGGCACCACTGTCCCAGCCTCCCCGGGTAGCCAGGGGAATTATCAGCTGCTCTGTCTCCCCTTTTTAATTAAAAAGCTGGTTTTAGGTGATTCTGTGTGGCTTGTCTGCTCTTCTGTCCTGAGCGATGTCCTGAGCAAGCAATCCTCACCCATCTCAGTGCAGAGGGGAAGCTGGGTTAGGCCAGGGAGGGATTTGCATAAACTGGGTTTGCTTTTCCCTGAGCTGGCGAGCTGAGCAGAAATCCCTGCCCCAGCAGAAACCCTGGCTTGTCAGCAGTGCCAACTCAGACCCCTGCCTCTGCCCCTCATTCCGGCCTCTCTGCTGCCACGTTTTTGGAGACAGCCGGTGAAGACCCATGTCCACCTTGGCAGGGTGGATGCCAGCCCGCCCCCCGAAGGGCGGCAGAGCCCTGCTCTGTTTGCTGTGGGCTGGGCAGCCTGGGGTACCCGAATGCCTCCAGGCAAATGTGGTTAATGCACCGTTAGAGCTGAAATGGAGAAGACAAGCTGCCATTGATTCTTACATCCTGATGGTCTCTGTTGAGCCAGGCTTAGGGTCTCCATCAGCCCTGTCCCCTCCTGGGAGCTAGGGAGGGAAAGGTGGACATGGGTGTGCCTACTCTTGCTCCCCCCCAGCTCCATGGCCTTGGAGCACCCCAGGGCACAGATCTGGGGAGCATGGCTCTGCACAGAGGTGGAGTCCAAGCCTCTCAGTTTGGCGGGCACTAATCCTTCACCAAACTGGCTGCCAGCATGAGCCACTGCCCCCACCACGGCTGTCCCCTGTCCCCGGTGTTTCCTGGCATTGGACTTTAAAATCGGCGCTTGGCTCTGGTGCCAACAACTTTGAGGGGCAGAAGCATCTGCAATGCTGGAGAAAAGGTTATTTCACCCATTGGTGTCATACAGGTGCAGCACTTCTTTCTGCTTCTGTTGCAGCTCAGATGCAGGGGCTCGGTCCAGCCTGCGCGCCTTCCCGCAGCCTTGGGAAGAAGTGTTTCCCAAATGCTGGCTGGGGGCTGGCCGGCCCCAGCGGGTTTACTGTGCCATACGGCACAGCTCCACACCAGACGCTTCTACTGGGCCCGAGTAGGGTGGTATTGGCCATGGCATGGAGGGTGGCACCCCCTGATTTCAGTACCCATGACTGCTGGGGGCCCAGAGGAGATGGTGCAGTTCGTACCCCCTCGCCCCAGCTCGCCCCAATGAGAAAGGCTGGCAGGCTGGTTTTCATATGTATGCTTTTTAATATCATTAATTCTGTTACACTACACACAACCAGTAACAATGATAAATACTGCAATGGAAATGTTAAAAAAAATATTATACATGTTTTGTGTTTTTGAAAAAAACCCTGCATTTCAAAATAAATTAATGCATAAAACTGATGGTAGAAAAAAGGAAACCCAAAACAAACCACAACACAACTGATCTGTTTAAGGCAATACTCTACACAGACAGGAACAGAAGTACAACAGTGTGCTACATGTTCTGAACGGGAAAAAAAGAAAGAAAAGAAAACCCACGTAAGATGCAGATCGATGCTTCGGGAGTGAAAAAGCTCCCAAAACCAGATAATAAAACCAATGGCCAAGTTAAGTGCAGCATTAATACGCTCTGCATGTCAAATGATTAGCAGGTTCCTAACATGGACTAAGGTCAAGCTACAACAAATTTATCTTCCTAATTAAAAGGTTATTTAGGCCAAACCCTACATTTAACTCTACTTTGCATTTGGCTGTTTCAGCTATGTTTCACTATATGCAAGGGCAGCCGGAAATTCATCTCCTGCTCTTGAGATTAATGCAAAGGTCGGGAGGTCTCTCCTCCTGAAAGATATTTCCATTAAATACATCCAGAAAGGATCTCGCTTTTGGTGACCTTGAAATGCCTCCCACCACCCCCTCCCCTGGGGTGCCAGGCACCGCATGGGGAAAGGAGACCTGGGAAGCATTTGCTTGGGTTGAGGTTTTTCCAAGCTGAGGACACGAAATGGAGGTGCAGATTTGATCCAGACTTGGAGGAATGCTGTTGCCCTGTCTGCAGAAATGCCCGTCTGGAGCCTGCGGAAAGCACTTTGACAGCACGGGAGACCCCCCAGCCTGCATCCGGGCTCTAGATACAGCCACGTTTGCTATTAAGGTTGGTGCGAAGCTCCATACCTGCCCTGACTGCCAATGAATCCCAATTATTAATGCAGCCCAGAACTTGGCCACTGGAAGGTGGACAATAATCATAATGCCAAAAAAATCCCCATCTCCCTCAAAAAAAGAAAAGAAAAGGGACAGTAGCCACTTTCTGCCAGCTTCCCCCGGTGGATCCCCATCAGCTGCCACCTATGCAAGATCAGCAGCGCCAGATGTCACCAGCATTGACCCAGTACATTCCCAGTAAGGTGCGTGTCTGCAAGGTGCTGCCAGGGGGCAAAGAAGCTTCTTGGGACACGGTCAGAAACTCCTGTACTGCCCTGCTGGAGCACGTGCGGAGGAAGCTATGGTACACGAGGAAAGAAACCCAAGCGGTTACAAGACTTGCGATGGCCAACAACTGTCCAGGTTGCCTTGGGTTCGGGTGGGAGAGGGAGACGCAGAACTGGGCTGAGAGTCACTTTGGTGCAACTGCCTCTGATGCTCGTCACTGGTGCATGGGGCAGGGGGTGGCGATGGCTGCTTTGAGAAAAGAGGAGTGGAAGGAGGACGTGTGCAATATAACAAGGCTTGCAATTCTAGGACTAACCACTGGACACGGATACCGAAGATTACCTGTGACAACTAGCTATCTTTCTACCGTCACTGCTCCTTCCCCCACTTCCCAGTCTGATTATCTTCAGTTTGGGAAGCCGTGGCCATTGGGCATGGTGGCCAGCGCTGACTCTCCCACCCTAGTCCCCGAGCAGCGCACGGAATGACATACAGTGAGGTCTGGAAGTCGCATGTTAGGCACAGACCAGCAAGTAGTGCCTGCTTTCAGACCCTTCAGAAAGTTATTTAATGGTAGCTCATTTCCTTTATTAAATTAGAGGTTCAATAACTTCTGTGGAAGGAGTATAAATGGTTAAAAATGTGCAAAAGCGGGGGGGTGGGGAGCCCCACTTTCTGAATTTTCTCCCCTGCAAAGACTTCATCCTCTGCAAGAGTTTTTATCCCCACAAAACTACAGCCCCACCAGTGTGTCTTACAGCACCCTGCCCCAGCGCAGCAAGAGCACAGCCGACAGGCATCCCACCCGCACCTCTGCTGCAGGGCTCCAGCCCGCACCAGGAGCACACGGGCTGGCAGGCCTGGGACCTGGCATTTGGGTCCCAGACCTCCCACAGCACTGAGACCAGGAGGCTGCAGGTGGCAGGGTCGGCTT